TACAATGGCCAGCCCCTAGAAAGGGATCGATTCACACTAATTAAAGCAATACTTAGCATCTACACTATCGTAACTTCTTCCAAGTAAACAGAAAATTCAAAAATATGGTTAGAACAGTTGCATATTTAGCTGGTTAACCTAAATCTATAATCAGTATGGGCACACGTGATTCCTGCCTCCTGATACTTAACACCTTTCCGTCATTCCCTCCCCCTTGAGTATAAGCAGGACCTGTGACTTGTTTATAACCAATGGAACGCAGCAAGGGCCATGGCCTGAGTGTGATTACGTGTACATATTTACATAAGAGTGTAGCACTGGCCCATCTTGCAAGTCTCTCCTTTGCTGGCTTTGAAGAAGCTGCCAACAGCTTAATAACCATGAGGAAATGAATTGTAGTATTTAATAAGCGGCATAGAAAACTACCTGCAACTGAATACAATCATAACCTAAGCTATTTATAAACTCTGTTCATACAAAGGGCATGTTTGTTCCAATTTCTAAACACTTCAATAAGTGCAGAACAATTTAATTCATTAACAACACCAGTCAAGTATGTACATATATGTAAAATTAATTAGGAAGTATTTTGCTACATATAGCAGTTCCTACACTTCTTTTTTAACCTATTTGCTAATATACCCAATTGTGCAGATACCCAGAATACATACTAAGTATAACCTTAACACGATACTTATAAAAACTGACAATTAATCAGTGGTATTGGTAACCAGAAAATAAATAAGTGGTTACCAGGCAAAGTAATCCAATTGGAGAGGTCTGGGGGACTTGCTGGAGACACTACCTGTTAGTAAAACAACGGAGCTTGTACTGGCTTTGCAGTCAGCAAAGCATCATAAGTACTGAGGTCAGGCAGCTGCCCTCTCATCAGACGGTGCCCACTGCCCACAAACCAATCCTCCCTTCAGCACCCACTCACCCTGCAGGCGAGAAAACTCAAAATATTCCCAAAGCAGAAACTTCCACAACGGAGCCCATACTTTAGCACAGCAAAGTATCTAGGGTGTTTTAGGATTATGTGAGATTACAAATGAGAAAAATTAACCACAAGAGTTCTTGATTTTTGGGGGTGGATGGGGGAGGAGACGGGTGACAGGATGGTGATTAATTAGTCATTTTTCTGAAGCAAATATTTCTCTTCTACCACAGGGTAAGTTTTCAACTGAATAAAAGAACATTCAGGAATAGAAAGCAGATTAATCACAATATCCCCAATTCAAATATTCCAACACTAAATACTAGTAAGAGTGACTGAGCATAATTCAACACAGCTAATTAATGCAGATAATCTAACACCTTAAAACCCACATCCGTCCTGAAGATTGAGAAATTGGCCTAGAACTACAAATTTTAACATATTCAGTTTTAAGCAATGACAAACTTCTTCAATAAAAGGAAGCAATTGTTCCTAAGTAACAGGAGGCACCTGAATTACAATCACATACCCTAACTTAAGCCAATCAATTAGGAGGTGACCAAAAGCAACCCAGTACCATCAATAAATTGCCTAGATTAATTCATCTCTCTCTCACTTCCAGATTCAGAGATACATGAGTACCCCACATGACTTCTCTAGAAATGATCTCCATTGACTGGCATAATTTCATAGTCTAATTTACCTTCAATATCCTTGCTGGATCATTAAACACTATTTTACCATCCATCATAATTGATGTTACAAACATTAGCAACTTGATAGTGAAAAAAGTGTAGACATACACTAAAGCCAAGAAAATCCTGAGATACCATCAAGTTTTCAATATTAGACTATTCCCTTAAAGACCTGTTTTAAAACAAAGGTGACTAAATTAAAAAAAAGGCTTTTGTTCACTGTAAAGCTTTTGTTAAACTCGGCACTCTGAGAATAAAAAAAGAAACCTACTTGATCTAAAAATTCCTGTATGTTTTATAATCATACTCTGATATACAACTCAGTTCTAAGAATTCTAGGAAACTTCTGTAAACTGAATATAAATTAAGTACCTCTCTTCTATTTCTCTAGAGAGAATTAAATAAGAGTGAATATAGCCAAAATACATGTCCCAAAGAGAGCAAAACATAAAACCAACACAGAAAATTTCATTTAATTTGGTAATTCATTACGATGGAACTAGTTAACAATTCAACTTGCCAGACTTCTAAATTTTTTTAAAGTGATATTGTTTAAATTTTCCTTTTCCATAAGGGAAAGATAATTTTGTATCTGATTAGTACCATGTTTTCCTATTAGGAAACAGTAACAATACAAACATCAACTAAAGTTTTATAAAATTACAGAAATAACTTTCCACTAATTTAGAAATAATCCTTTTCTCAACTTTCAGATGGGAGTTTCTTTTTATTTGCCCAAACATCTACACAATTTCTAACTGAATAAATTACTAAAACATTAAGTCAACATGGAGTAATAATGAAGTCCAGTCACTAAAATAAGACTCAGGGACTTCCCTGGCAGTCCAGAGGTCACGACTCTGCCTTCCAATGTGGAGGGTGCAGGTTCGATTCCTAGTCAGGGAGTTAAGATCTCATGTGCCTTGGGGCCAAAAATTAAAAATGTAAAACAGAAGCAATATGTAACAAACTCAATAAAGAGTTTAAAAAATTAAAAAGCAAAATAAGATTTATCATCTGGTTCCCTAAATCTCAGGATGATGACAAACAGGGTTCTATTAAGTTCCCCTAATGAGCCCAACTACTGAAATACAGATAAAAAAATCTCATTAAAGCAAATGCTGCTAGAAAGATGCTTTTTCACTCTCAAGTGTATTCCATCTCCAAGTCTTAAGTGGGATTTAAGGTACTGGCACTTTGAGCTGTTCCTATCATTTAGAAAGAACAGGTAATTTCTCTGATTCTCTTACAAGTTTTCTCAACTACGGTTCCTCATCTGAAATAACAAACACAAGATTATCCCAGTGACTGTTTTCTCAAATTTCCTAAGAATGATACATAACTAGAAACATTTCAAATGCACAATAGACTAGTTAACTAACTGCACACAACAGATACTTTTAAGACATTGGGGCTCCATTCTCTACAGAGACTTGGTTAGGAAACCCACAGTTCTCATTGTCACTGTGCCTCCACTAGGCCCCAATCATGCTAACCCCTAAAAATACTAAAAATGGCTAACGTGTACAAATCTAAGAATTCAGAGAAGAAAACAGATAAATGCTTTACTTCTCCAACTTTAAGCAACTAGATCTTCTTCACCTGCTATATCATTAAGAATTGATAGCACAGGTGTCAACTATTTGCCCCCACTCCCAGATGAAACATTTTAAACCCATACAGATAAACTTTGTTAAAAGAAAAAAAGTCCTTTAAAAAAAGTTAAGCCATCAGTATACCAAAGAAGTTACTAATCTGATGAGCCTTTTCCTATTCCCTTTCTTTAGCAAGCTGTTATACATAACTACATGCAAATTTTAATCTTAAGATAAATATATTTTTTTAGGACCAGCTTAGCCTTTATTCTTGCCACTAATCTCCCATTCTTAAGAAACTGTCTTTTGTTATTCTTCGATGTGGTACTACAGGACCTTCAGCTGTGTTAGTTATGAATCACAAATCACAGTACAGTCAGCACTAGTTCTTTTTCTCAAAAAGAAATGTTTTAAGGGCCAATCTTAAGAAAAGTCAGTATTTTTAGTTACAAAGAAAAAATCATTTTATAACAAGTAATTAAAGGTGATTAAACAGTTGTTTTCTGTTTTGAATATGCAAAGCGGTATGAAAAAGATGGGGGGAAACTAAACATGTCACCCCCATTTTTAGTTTGTGCTAATGTGATTATTGATAGTACAGAAAATCAGAGCAATTACATTATTGAACGTTTCACTTTACCAACTGCCTGCTCAAATTTCTCACATCTACAAACATGAGTAAAGGAAGCAGAGAAATAGAGATGGTGTTTTCACTACTCACCTGTGCTCAACTGTAATTGTAGGTAATATCATGATGTGTAAAGAAAGCAATGATATGGAAATATTTATCTTCTATTGTCTGCATCTCTAACCAGATTTAACTTCTACATGAACTGGGAAGGGAGTGTCTTAATTCATTTACCATTAACTGTCCTGAAGGAAAGTAGAAACCATAAAACACAACTGAAGAGGTCGAATTTGCTTTCCTCACATCAGGGGTACCCCTCCCCCGTTTCTATCAATTCAAAAAGACCTGCCGTTTTGCTACTAAAATTTCGCTGCGGGGTCTTCTCGAATCCTAGCGAGCACAGCTTTTCAAAAACACCTGGGCTTTTACTGCATCTTGTAGGCAGAGCTGTAATGATTATTGGTTTCTTTCCTTAAGAAACAGATCTCAATTTTTTAATGCTCTGTCCAAATTAAACAGGACTCACATTAATCATTATCTAAAGCATCAATTTCCTGAGGTTAAAAATACACTTTTCATTAACACATTCACCCAATTAAAGCGTACACAGTAGGTGGGACTACCGACACAAGACTTGAGAATTACAGTTCTACATTAAGTTACTCCAAAAGCGACAGCTCTCTCCTTTTTCAAACACTCATCTGTTCATTTGAGACTCTGACTTTTGGCCTTTAAAAACTGCTCACCACCGGAGTCACCAGATACAACCACATTTAGCAACGGGTCCTGACTTCCTGCTACTAAAAACCACAAACACCAGGGTTATTGCGTTTGTTTTTAAAACAATATTTGCTCCCTTCACCTCCGGGAGCAAACAAGGGCTTTCTGTACGAGAGAGCCAAGAAGAGGTGAGGGTGCACGCGGGGTTCAAAAACCAAACACTGGGGTCCCGCGGTAGCGGCGCTGCAGGGGTTAAGAGGCGCTCTCTCCCTCTCTTTCCCTCCCACCCTCAAGAGGGGTGACCCGGCCCGGCCGCGCGACGAACCCCCGGCGCTCAAGCTGAAGGAGAAAAGGAGAAGGGTAAAAATAAGCGCAGCCGCGGCCCACGTGCCGCCCGCGGGAGACAGAGAGGGAAGGGGCCGTACCTCCAAACATGTGCGGCGAGAGGTGAGCTGGTAAGGAGCCGATCACCAGGCGCGGCCCTCCGGGACCCCCGCTTGCCGGCCGGTCCCTGCCGCCGCTGCTGCCGCCGTCCTCCGGGCTGCTGTGAACCGAGTCCTGCGAGCCGTACGGGCCGCTGCTGCTGTTGGGGATGCTGAAGGTGGACTGAGCCGCCCGGGCCCCCGACGCCACGGTCCCCACGGCCCCGCCAGCCCCTGAGGGCAGTCGGCGCCCGCCGCGCTCTTCTAGGGGGTGACGAGCGAGATCGACGGCCTGTCTGGGGACTCGGGAGACGAGGAGAGACGGTGAGGAAGGAGGTCCCGGCTCCCGCGGGCGCCGATCGCTGGCTCCGGCGGGAGGGGCGGCTCAGGTGGCTGCGCGGCTGCCGCTGCTTTCGGTTCTGGTGCGCCGCGACGGGCCGCTGCCGCTCTCTGCCGCCGCCGCTGCGCTCTGCGCCCGGGCCCTCGGCACCGCCTCCTCCCGGGCGGCCGCCGCTACCGCCGCCATCCTCCTGCTCCCACGGCGGCTCACGGGTGAGTGGGAGGTGCCCGCCCAGACTCCGCTGGGGCCACCTTCCCTCCTCCCCCAGCCACCCAGCTGTTATTAACTGAGAAGGAGGAAAAACGGGTGGCGCGGGAGGGGAGGACGCAGGAGGAGAGGGAGGGGCAGCGCGCGCTTCCCGGCAACCGTCACCGCGCTCCCCCAAAGAAGGAGGGGCCGGGGGGTAGGGTCTGGACCACGAAGGTGGCGGGCGGGGGGGTGCTCAGCGGGGAAGGAGGTACTGCGGCCCTCGCACCGGAAGGCGGAGGAGCAGCGCGGCCCCAGGGTGCGCCCGAACCCGTGTGTTTGGGTCGCGCGCGGTGACCCCGCCCCCGCCCCCTGGCGCCGCCGGGTGGATTGGCTCCCACCTGCCTGGCCCCGCCTCCCCCCTCGCCGCGGCCTTCCCGCTCCCGCCCTGTCTCGCCTAGGTGCCTTGGTGGGGTAGGTGCTGCCACCCGCGGATTCAGTGATGGACAGGTCTCTGGCCCCGCCCTCCCCTGCAGGGCGCGCCCCCTCTCCACCGCGGGGCCTGCTCTGATTGGAGGGACGGAGCTCCTCCGGGCGCCAACCAGAAGACGGCCCCTCCTCCTGCACGTGGCCCTCGGACGCTGGACCTGACGGTGGGTAGTCTTCACCTTCTTAAAGCTGGGGTTGGGAGTGTCTCTGTCCTGTGTCTTTAGCCGCTGCGTTTGAGTGGGTGTCGACCTTCCTCCTTGATGTTACTCCGAGGGCGTGTTTTAAATAAAGCAGAAGCTCACCAATCTGATGATAAAAGACTGAAAACAAAAGAAAGAACCTAGGAAGCTGAAGGCAACTTGATCTGAATTAGATCTATCCCATTTAAACACTCCGACTGTGGAGAAAGCAGAGTTAATAGAACTAAAGATAATCCAACATGATCTTCAGCAGTAGAGCAAAAACTGGCACAGAGACAGCTGCAACCAATCCGTAAGACCTGGGGTCTAGGTCTGGGACCAAAACCAAGTGTAATAAGCAAATCATTTTACCTTTGTGGACGTTAGTTTCCTTACCTGGGATGTTTGTATCAAATCTCCACAGCACCGGCTGCTTTAAAACCCTGTAATTTCTCTAAAATGGCAATTAATACTAGGTTGGTGCAAACGTAATTGCGGCTTTTGCATTGTTTAAATTTTCCATTTGATATTGGAATACATTCTTAAATAAAAATGGTTGTGCTATACATCATTTTAATGCACATTTCTTACTTGTCTGACTTACTTGTTCTTGGCTGAGTTATTACTTGTTTATATTTATTTCAACTATGGAAATAATCTCAGAAAAAGCAAATTCAAGCAATTTTCCTATTCGAGTTCGCAGAGACAACTCACAACAACACATTTGGCCCAGGAACTGCTTACAAATGTACAGTACAGTGGTGGTTCAAGAAGTTTTGCAGAGTAGATAAAAGCCTGAAGATAAACATAGTGGCTGCCCATGGGAAGTTGACAATAACCAATTGAGAGGCTTAGAACTACATGAGAAGTTGCCCAAGAACTGAACATCAATTATTCTATAGTTGCCCAGCATTTGAAGCAAAATTGAATGGTGAAGCGCTCAAGAAATGGGTGCGTCATGAACTGACTAAAAATGAAAAAAATCGTTTTGAAGGGTCATCTTCTCTTTTTCTACATTAGGTTCTTCTCTTATTCTCTATCCGATTGTGATATGTGACAAAAAGTGGATTTTATATGAGAACCAGCAATGACCAGTTCAGTGGTTGGACCGAGAAAAAGCTTCAAAACACTTCCCAAAGCCAAACTTGCACACAAAAAAAGGTTATGGCCACAGATTGGTGGTCTGTTGCCAGTCTGATCCACTACAGTTTTGTGAATCCCAGCAAAACCAACACATCTGGGAAGTATGCTCAGCAAATCAATGAGATGCATCAAAAGCTACAACACCTGCAGCTGGCATTGGTCAACAGAAAGGACCCAGTTCTCCTGCATGACAACACCTGACTGCACATCACACAACCAACACTTCAAAAGCTGAACGAATGGGCTGTGAAGTTTTGCATCATCCACCATATTCACCTGACCTCTCATCAACTGACTATCACTTCTTCAAGCGTCTTGACAACTTTTTGCAGGGAAAATGCTTCCAGAGCCAGCAGAAGGCAGGAAATGCTTTGCAAGAGTTCATCAAATCCCTAAGTATGGATTTGATACTACAGGGATAAACAAACTTATTTCTTGTTGGCAAAAGTGTGTTGATTATAATGGTTCTTATTTTAATTAATAAAGATGGGCTTGAGCCCAGTTATGGTGATTTAAAATTCACGGTCTGAAACCGCAATTATATTTGCATCAACCTAATAAAATTCTTCTCACTCCAGTCCAAACTGTAATGTGATATTTTGGTGGCAAAGCATGGTCTAGATACCCAGTGGACACCCTGCTGTGACCCTTCGATTTTTAAAATTCCTAAAAGTGTTCCCTATGTGAAAATAATAGTAACTGGTATTTTTTTGTACAAACTGCAGAAATACTTGGTCTTTTTTCTCATACTTGTAATGAGTAATTTATGTAATGATTATCACTTTGAAGTATGAAAATCAAGTTTTTAAACAGAACTGTAGAATACATGTATAGCTATTGATGTACTCTGTGTGTGTATATATATAACTACTCAATTCAAATCTTGAACTACTCAAAATTCTTTCATCTTGGGTATGAGCTTAATGAAACCAACGTTTACTTCAGTTCAGTCACTTAGTCGTGTCTGACTCTGCAACCCCTTGGACTGCCACACGCCAGGCTTCCCTTTCCATCACCAACTCCCGGAGCTTGCTCAAACTCATGTCCATCGAGTCATTGATGCCATCCAACCATCTCATCCTCTGTCATCCCCTTCCCCTCCTGCCTTCAATCCTTCTCAGCATCAGAGTCTTCCAATGAGTCAGTTCTTTGCATCAGGTAGCCAAAGGATTGGAGCTTCAGCATCAGTCCTTCCAATGAATATTCAGGACTGATTTCCTTTAGGATTGACTGGTTTGGTCTCCTTGTAGTCCAAGGGACTTTAAGAATTTAACATTTACTTGGTAAGCAAAAATAAAGTTTGAAAGGCCAAAGTCATTACCAGAATGATAAGCTCTAATTTAAGCAGGTAATCTAGTTATTCAATAGGATTTAAGTTTTATTGAATGAGGCCTTTGGTGGAAAACTCTGGTTCAACAGGAATTTATACCAATATGGCAAGAACTTATTGTTAATAGCAAATTATGATTTTCAAAGGGAGTAAAAGACTTTTATAGGTCTCTGAGGAGCTAACAACTGATAAAGAGTTTCACACTCATCATTATACATTTTATCTTATATAAAATGTTATGCGTCATTATACATTATGCATTTAAAAAGCTTAGATAGCTATAATATGGAGCAAACCCCATTCATTTGTTAAAACTGTTAAATGAAAAGATTTAATTCTATGATTCTTGCTCATATCCAAATTTACATATATTTTGCTTCAACACATCCAAACGTATACTTTTAAATCACTTTTATACAGATGTTAATTACACCTAAAAAGTACTCAATGTTTATTCATTTATTCCTATCTAGAGAAAACATCTCCTTATAGTGCCAGGTTTCCAGTGTTCACACCACTCACAACACCTGGAATTTTATATCTGGTTGTTTATGTCCATTCTTCAAAAGGTTGTAAATTCCATGAGGGCATGGAAAGTGCCATTTTTCTGGCTCACCATTGCAATGCTTGGCACATAATAACCTTTAGGTAGGTATTTGTTGAATAAATGAATAGTGAGAAGGCCATTTACAAACTGAACATAGAGGGTAAAAATTAGAGTTGTAATGATTATTCATTCTGCATCATAAATGTGTGTTTTGTTACTTAGTGCCAGGAACAGCATCTTAATCAGGACAGGCTAAGCCACAAAATGGAAACAATTCCCTGACCTCAGGTTCATGATGCAATGAAAGCACTTTACAAGTTCACTTGGTAAACCCTCTCAGCTCCCTCCAAACAGTTTCCCACTTAAGTGGCAATCCTCAGTGTCTCTTCTCCAAGTGGTAACTCGGGGACCCAGGTTCTTATCTTGTGGCTAAGCAGACCCCTGGTCCCCTCACTAGATCCTGTGCCACCCAAAGAAAAAGGACAGGTACAGGAAGAAGTTTTGGCCAAGACTAGAAGGTTTTGCATCCCTCTTCCCACTCTCCATGTTGGCAGAAATCAGTCACATGCAAAGGGGTCAGAAAATGTGGATTTGTGTGTGTGCCCAGGAAGGGAAGGAAAGAATTTCAGCAAGCACATAGCAAACATATCTTTGCCACACAAGGACAACTGGCCATCAAACATCTAAGCTAAGTATGAAATCTTAATAAAACTTTAATTTTTACAATAAAAATTAAGTTACATGAAAAATTTCTAGTCACAGCTATTATTTTTAAGCCATCAAAATGTAAAGAAAAAAATTTTGTGTCTGTATGGGTCAGCTAAATTTCTTCTGCTTTACATTGTGTGTCTAGAAACACCATCCAGCACAACTGTTCATTTAGTCATTTGGGTCAGTGATCCTCAAAGTATGGTGCCCAGATCAGTAGTATCTGCATCACCTTGAAGTTTGTCAGAAAGGCAATTTTCAGACCCCATCCCCCCACCCCACCCCCGCCCAGAACTACTAAATCAAAAAGTGTTTGAACATGCCATTGAAGGGATTCTGAGGCATGCTAATATTTAAGAACCACTTATCTCAATAACCGTTAATTAACTTCAAAATAGACTATCATGTTGAAATGTGGTCATCATTTTGATTAAACAGCCTCTCCATATGGATGTCTCTTGTCACTCCACTCTTAACCCATCATCACAGGCTAACTTGAGTATTCTCACTCAACACATGTTAATACTCCCTTCACATCACAGATCTTGCTATTGTTATTATTCATCTTCTTGCTGTCATTAAACAGTACTGTCCAGCATCTAAC